TCTGTAGCAGATAGCCTTGCATATTGCAGGTCGCTTCACATGAAAGGGCAGCCTTGCTGTTGTGTTTGCCTAGGACGTGCTGGCTGTTTGCTTGTTCTTGCAGCAGGAGAGACTCCTTCACCTGCACACAACATAAGCAGATTCGAGCTGCCACAAAGTCGATGAACCAGTTAAGGCTTCGACTTGCTAGAGCTGTATATATTGGCTCCTGATGGCTCCAACTTGAAGCCTTTCGGTCAACCGTTCTTTGGACGGTTTTGCAAACTTCGAGCAGAAAGCCTTGAGCACCACGTGCGGTGATCGGAAGAGACATGATGTGACATGACGAGACAGGTCGATTCTGTGCTGTTGAACTTTGAGCCGCTCGCGGTTCCGTCCCTTCAACTCGAGCGCGGAACGAGTGAAACGAGTGCCCAATGCTCCATACCGCCCGGCACATGGGACGCATCCTTCGTCCCCCAGCTGTCGAACAACACTGGTTGGTCGGAAAGAGTGTTCGCCGAAGTGCGCCGGAACGGTAGAGCCGCTCGCGGTTCGCATCGCGAAGGTGACCGGACGTGCGCGGTGCGAACGAACGCGGTTCGCATCGGGGTGAGAAGGAACTGTTTTTTCTGACGCGTTGCACAGGTTTTTCACTAGGTGAGCAACGACCTTTGTTATCTTTGTTGCTATGTTCTAGGCTTTGCAAGGCGCCTGTCGCAGCCGCCCCTTGCCTTGGAAATCATGTCGCTTTCCGCATTTTGCTCCATTCTTTGCTTCCAGCCGGCTCGCAAGGTGTCCTCAAGTAAGTTGGTGTGGAGCAGGGTGAGATCCATAGCTCTTGGGCCACTCGCTTCCTTGGAGTTGATTGGGTGGCGTAGAGACGTCAGTTTCTTGGTCAATCAACAGGCCTTTGCAACTAGGAGTGCCAGGAGAAGGGCCAGATTGAACGAGTGGCCCAACCTTTGGCGAAGCGGGGCTCTTTGTGTTGCACACCACGAAAAAAGCAGGACAATCTCCAACTGTCCCTAGCAAAAAGAACGCGAAGCCTTAAATGAAGCCAGCGAAACTATCTGATCAAAAGCGCTTGATTCCGACACAGTCTGGAAAAGAATGTTTGTTAAAACCTGCCATGTGAGAAAGCACATGAGATGCCTTCCAATTCCACACACCAAGGGTTTCTCCCTGATTCGCAGACATTCAGGCGGGTCATGCAGCTTGTCAGTGAATGTATGCCATCCATCCCAAACTGGGCATGCCTGCATGAGCAGGAAGACCAGACACATCACCCTCCTGTCACCGTGCGGTTTGAGAAAGGGAAGGAGAAACCGGGGAAATCTGCACCGTTCATCACAGGATTTACAACGATGGCAAAGGTCGGTGCACACTTCGCAAAACAAGGACACGACCACCAAAACAGTAGGAGGATTCCGGTATTGTTCTTGAAGGAATCAAAGAATCAAAGCGGTGTACTCTGTGACTGACTCCTTTACGTGTCATCAATGCCTTTGTTTGCACGTTCAGTACGGGCTTCCTGAAGTGCTCTTCCATGAACGCAGTTGCAGGTAGCTAGATGCGGGATTATGAGCTCGTCCTCTGTGGTGCAGACTGCACTTGTTCGCACAAGCACCATGCAAGCTCTTGTTCAAACTAAAATGAGTTGGTACATTCGTACACAGAGATGTGGGTAATCCAACTCCATCTCTCCAAGAGCAGCACAAGCATGCACAAGCTGTCTGAGCCCCAAACACGAGCGTCACCGGGCTCGTGCTGCCTGCAGAGTACTCGTAGACATTCGTAGACTGGAGACTGTGTTTTTTCGGCGGCTTGTTTGGTTTGTGCCATCAGATACATCACAAAGGTGCGTAATTCGTCGAAATGAACACATCCACAATACATACTTGAAGATTGGTACATTTCATCATAGAAATTAAGAACATTTTAAAAACAATGTTCATGCCTTTTGGCATTCCAAACCCCTGAGTTGAATAAATTTGCGCAGCATTCATTTGACAAAGTTTGCTCAGCTTACATTGCAATTGCAGCGGCCTCTTCACTCTCAATGTTCCAGCAGCTGCTCACCCCTCCCCAGTTGAGGAGCAACAGAGTGGCACCTTTCAGGAGGCAAAATTTGTCCCTAAAGCGGCCGCTGTGTTGCTGTCCTTGGTGCACCTCTGTAGGTTGAGGTGTGCTCGCAGAGCACCCATGCAGTTCATATTTCGGAGTCGCAAACAACTTGCCATCCAAGATGAGGCTCTAAGATTATCAATGTGAACTTTGTCCAATTCCAGAGCTTGCCATTTCGATTTCGGCTCCCAGTCGTCTCTTTCCGGGAGTTGTTTTGGCACCCGAAGACGAGTTTGGTGAGTGGTACGCGCATCGCTGCCACATTCCTCCCAAGTCTTTCCGGAAAGACTGGACGATGCTTCTTGAATGGGCGAACAAACAGCCGTAGGTCACTGATGCTCGCGTTTGACAGGTGGGACAGGGATGGACGCGACCCCTTGGGGACAAGTTCTCTCACCACGGTTATACCGGGTTTTGCCGATGTTGGTTCCCTCTAAACTATTGGCATTGAACTTGAGGCGGAGGGTCTTTGCACAACCCAAGCATACCAAGGGGTCCCTGTCACAGATATATCTTTGTTTGTGTCGACAATGTTTGCAAGCCGTGTTGGAGAGAATTTCTTGGAATGAAACGAAGTGGCAGCCACAAGGTTGATGAGGAATTCTTTGATCAGTGCTAATTGTGGTGATGTTGTCCTCTAAACATCAATTGTATTTGTGGCCCTTGATTCCTTCTCCGGCATTGCTGCTGGTTGCTGATCGCTCAAGGTCAGGAGTTCCTGAACCTACGGATAGCGCAGACCACCCGGGACACGGACGAAAACAAACGTTTACGTTGACAGTTTTTTTCACCACGGCGTTCAGTGAACGGTCTAGTTTTGCTTTAGGCTTTTAGGCTCTCTTGGGTGATGGACACATGAGTAGTCAAAAACCTTGATCGCCCTGCCGCTTGCTGTTGCTTGTCATTCTCGTTCTTGGGGCTGTTCAGATCGGTGGCAACCTCTTCTGGCATGGAGGCTTCTTGGTAATTCATAGTTCTCCGAAGCTATATGCAGGCTCAAAAGCCGAAAACCTTAGCTGAAGGCTGAAGAAACTTCTCGCTGAAGGCTGTGAAGATGTTTTGCGCTTGCTGCGAATCGATCCTTGGGCTGAATGAGAGGATCACGGGAGAAAGAAAGCTGAGATAAGCAGTTTGTTGGAGCTTCTCTAGATTGGAAATGCATGCAAAGAGGATGATGAAGCTTCTGTTTCCTACTTAGTCTACTTAGAGTCTGTACTTGACTGTTGCAATGTCAGGTCAATTGTTACTCAATGAGCTAAGGGGCGATGGAAACACGGTGGAGGAAGTGGCTGCCTTGCCCAGCCTGGCAAGTGACACGCCTCCCACACCAAAGGCAGCTGAAAAGCCAGCTGTCGAGGCTCCTCCTTCCTCCGGTGCTTCCTTCACCTTCAGGCTGCCAGACAACACCTCAAAAGAGGCCAGGTGAAAAAGCTGTCGCGAACTTGTCTTACGACATTGTTGTGTGAACTTCAACAGTGAACTTGTCCCAGTCTGGTGATCCAGAAAGGGAGACAAGAACATTTGTCGCCGCAAGGGAAGAAGCAACATAGCCAGGAAAGCAGGGTAACAGCGCGGAAGGAACGTGTAAAATGAGGGGGGCCCAGGTCTTGAATGATTGATAGTGATTTTTTTGATATGATTTGACAGCAAAGACAACTATTTAAATTATTTGCGAGTAGTAACAAGTGCCACGCTAGTAGTAACAAGGGATGCACGGCAGTGCTGATGCACATGCACCAGGATACACCGTCCATCAGTCTTGCGTCGGACCAGGTCTTTTTCACCGCGAAGCCCTTGGGTTTGGATTTCAGCAAGTCGATTCCGATGATCGTGAAGGCCGTGAAGAAGGACTCCGTGGCCGATGAAGCGGCCGTGCAGGCCAAATGGGTGGTGACGCACGTGAAGGGCCAGGAGATGCCAACGGATTTGAGGGATGCCATGACAGCGATCCTGATGGCGGTCAAGGATCTTCCATCGAAGAAGGAGTGAAGATCTATTTTTTGTCAATTCTTTGAAAGGCCGCTGGCTTTGAAGGTACGTGTTTGATCAAAGATCGCAACGGTCATCACAAGATCAAGCAAGAGCATGAAGAATAGTGCACCATGAACGATGTTTGCTCGAGAAACTTGGCCCTGTAGTCTTTCTCAGGGAGCACTGCACTCAAGCATTTCTGATGTTTTAAGAGAGCAGCACCATGTTTTTCACCTATGTTCCGGGTCACCCAAGAAGTTTGCATCTTGCTCAGCCTTATCAGGCAACATGTGGAACAACTATGAACCAATTAACTGCGCCTTTGGGTGACCTGCACTGAGACTCCATTTGGCACCTGATCGGAATGCACTGCGAAAAGCGGAGCTGAGACGCGAACGCCGATCCATCGTGGCACAACTGAGCCGCGGTGCGAGAGTAACTGCGAGACGCGAGGTCTGCGAAGCGAGGCCGCCTCGGTCGGCCTCGGTTAGCCGTGTTTTTCCATGGAAGAAGTTACTGGTAGCTAAAAGCTACTAGGTGGAGGCCAGCGCTATTAGGTTGGAGGCCATCGCTACTAGTACTTGTATCAAGAAGCTACTGGTAACAAGGCACCTTACTACCAGTAACAATAAGGTTTCTTGATGAATCGTTCGCGGCTAGTAGCCATGGGGTACTGAATTGGTACTCAGTACTGCACTGGTGGCACAGGATGGCTAAAGGCTAAAGTACTTGCCTTATCCTTTGTTGAACAATGACACACCACAGGCTGAAACGGTTGATGGTATTTAAGCACTGCACATCTTAGACATCTCACGTTAGATATGAGAATATAGAAGCATACAGGCACCGATATGTTGGCTTCAAAAGGGATGCTGAGAGCAGCCATGGAGCCGGATTCGCATGGAGACTGCATGGATCAAGGGTTTGACACTGTGCAGCCAGGCGAGCTTGACACCGAGACATGCTTAAGAACTCTGCAACAAATAAAGCGCATTCAATGTCTACACACGTGGTTTTGACTGAAGCTGGAGTCAGGGAGAAGGAAAGAAAAGGGACGACAGGAAAATATTTAAAGACAATTAAAGACAGACATGTATTTATATGTATTTATAACATATAAAGATACATATAGTTTGTTCGCTCTTAGGTTGGAGGCCATTTCTATCAGGTTGGAAGCCCTTCTATGGCCCGAAACGTTTTCGTCGTGACGTCCTGCCCTCGCCCGAATGTCCCGCTTGATCTGTGTTCGGCCAAACAGAACCTTCTGTTTGGAAGCCAACGGTTGAGCCACTGGTTTAACACAAAAGGAGTTCTAAGAAAGTGTGTTCGTTGTTTTTTTGGGGTCATTTGATGGAGTGGTTTTTGCGTTGCTGATTTCAGCGAAAAAGTTCATCACCGATGCATTGCCATGAGGGAGTTCGTGAGTTTCGTGAGTTCGGCAGCTTCAACTTGTTACTTCGAGGCCATCACCGAATACGGTTACCGAGGGCAGTGGCAACAGGCAGTGAATCTTCTTGCTGTGGCTCGTCACAAAACATGGACAAGGGGTAGTAAAGAAAGCGCTTCTTAGGTCAAAATGTATTGTAAGGTCTAAAGAAGGCACAAGGAAGAAGGAGTGGAATGAAACAGAAATAACAGAATAGAAAGAAAGGGAACGAAGAAAGAAAAGGTCTGTATGTGCACCTTCTTGCTCGCGGGATAGGGATAGTCAGGTCAAACACCCAAAGGCCAAAAACGCACCTAGGCTTTTCTTCAGACCTTTAGACCTGTCCTATCTAGTAAGAGGTGCATCGCTAGTAGTAACAAGTGCCTTACTAGTAGTAACAAGAAGCTACTAGTAACAAGTGCCTTACTAGTAGTATATAACAATAAGAATTTAATTGTAATTACTAGCAAAGGAATCTTTTCTTCAGACCTTTAGACCTGTCTTCTTGTCTGTTCTTTCTACGTTTCTTTTGATGTTAAGCTCAGGATGGCTCAGGCTCTTGAATATGTGTTGTCTCTTTTTCACTGGCTTTGCTACAATTCGTCAGGAACTGTTGCGTCCTTGTTGCTCAAGGCATACCACCTTCCCAAAAAAGCAGAACAGGTGCTGGTAGAGAGAGAGAGAGATAGATATACAGGGAGAAAGAGAAAGAGGAATTGGATTGAATAGCTTCCTTGAATTGATTTCATTCGGCTGTTTGACCAACCCGTTTCATTGGCTCAGGTGGCCCAAGAAGAGGGAATTCCTGTGGATTTGCCGTTTCTCGGATTTGGACCAGCCGCTTTCTTCTTCTGCGGAGCTCTCTTCCGCTTGTGCTTGAAATTGGTGGATTGTGGATGTGCTCGGGGTTTGCTCAGCGTTCTTTGGTGAACCAAGGTTGTATAGGAAGCTCATCAACTCATGCAGGGAAAACCGCCAATGGAAGTCCTGCATGCAAGTTCTGAGATTTCTGGCACACTCCCAAGAACGAGGACCGCACAGTCGACCTCGAAGTTCGACGAAGTCAGTGGCCGGTGAAAAGAGAAAACGAGCGCAGATCCTCCCAGAGACACAGAGCTTGTGTTGAAAAAGCTTGGACCGAACTGCCAGCAATGCACAGACTGATTGAAACGGATTGAGTGAGTTGTCCTTTGGGGTATTTGCAGGATTACGTGCTGATGCGGTGCCGAGCCCAGTGAAATACAGCTGAAACGCCCAACTAACGAGAAAAGCTTGAAACGGTTGCTTTGGAAGATGAAAGCTGAAAAGGTTCTTTATGGAGCAACTATGGCAAGCGCTTCTGACTTAATGCCCGAGATGCCCTGGAATCGGAAGACCGCTGCCTCTGGGCTGATGCCGATTTCTTTTCATTTCTTTCTACATGTCGCTGCTTTTTTTGTTTATCGCCTCCATTCTCTCCGTTATTATTTTACAGACATATATATATATATTAATATATATATATATTATAAATATATGTGTTTCTTTATGTTCTTTCTTTATTTAGTTATTTCTTTTCCTTTTTTCTTTCTTTCTTGTTCTTTTCTTCTTTCTAGGTTGTTTTTCATTTTTACTTGCCTCTCGCGGCACTCGACTTGGGTTTCACAAGTCGGGTGTCTTTCTCGTTTCACAAGTGGTCTCAGCATGTCATCGAGCATCACAGCAGTGACATCTTCCGACGATGCGTGGGTGGCCCAGGCTAGGTGGCCGAAAGCCTTACAAGTCTTGGACGGTATGCGGCAGGACGGTGCTTTTGGTTCCGAAGATGACAGATTTGGGATAAGATGGGATGCTCTTCCGAGAAGGATGCCAGACTTTGTTGGTAGCGAGTTTATGTAAACAAAGCTTAACTGTAAACTAGAGCGACTAGACCACCTTGGTATGATGTCACAAATTGATGTCTCCATCGCACAATTTTTGTGCCAGGACAACGCCCAAAGAGATGCTGCCTCCTGGCGCATTGCATCATCCGCATGTGGACAGGAGCGGCCTGATCTGGATGTGAGGCATAGAGCAAACAAAGAGAGGAGAGAGGAGGAAATAGGGGGAGAGCTTGAAGAGGATGAGAATCATGATGAGAAGCATTCCAACACACTGTAGCTTCCAGGGCAAGCAGTGGAAAGCAGCAGCACTACTGCTTTCAGAGATGCGCTGGGCAACCTGCGATGTCGGAGCGGAAGCCTATACAGGTCCGGATGGGTTTACAGAACGGACATTCTGCCTGAAGATCTGGTTCAATGACCGGGGAAAGTCAAGGAGACTCACAGAGACATACAGATGATGGAATGCAAGGTGCAATGCTAGCTGCTTTGAACTCGGAATGGCCTGCAGTGCTGTCACTCTTCCGTCACTCAGCGAACAATAGATAACTACCCGGCCCCGAGAGGGGCCCCGGCCACAGAGGTCGTTGGGTTTTTTTCCCTGTTCTTTTGCTTCTTTGGCGAAGCCTCAGACAGGGAGGATGTTGGGGTGAGGTGACCTACGACGGCGGCCAAAAGTCAAGCTGAACACGGAAGCTTTGCAACAGTTTGAGAGAGAGAGAGAGAGTTGAATGCATTTTAAATCAACTTGAAGCGACAAAAGCACGAGACTTGCAAGGGGTGGAGCCCAGTTTCTGAGAGCTGGATGGTCAACGAAAACCTGAGGCGGTCCTCAATGCTGCCATGTTGGCCACAGATGAGGCCGGCCAGCCGGAACGAGCCATACGTCTCCTGCAAGCCGTGCAATCATCCGGTGCTGCAGAGCCCAACGTGCTAAGTATCACGAGCCCTTTCAGCATTTAAGGAGATGATAGGAGATCTGATTTTCACCAACAAATCACTTTGTGCACAACACAACGGAGGTGAGCATCAAAACGGGGCAAGTGTTTGCTGGCTGCTTCTGTGGATCACGAGGAACCCCAACGTGCTTGACCCACGAGATGAAAAGGGACCGCCAAAACTGTGGCAGTTCTCATAAGTCTTGCATGGCAGCAATGGTATATGCTTTTCCGGTACTCCCTGAAAATCTGAAACTTGCAGTTAAGCTTCCCTAAAAAATCTATAAACATCAAGGAACCAAATCATTAGTGCGAGCGCTTCTTCAAAGAAGCTTCCCTTTCCTTGAAGAAGCGCGAGCTATCCTGCGTCCAGTTCCTAGTGTAGCTTAAGTAAGCTACTAGGAACAAGTGCATCGCTACTAGTGACAAGTGCCTTACTAGTAGTAACAAGAAGCTAGTAGGAACAAGAAGCTACTAGTAACAAGTGCATCGCTTCTAGTAACAAGTGCCTTACTAGTAGTAACAAGAAGCTAGAAGGAACAAGAAGCTACTAGTAACAAGTGCATCGCTTCTAGTAACAAGTGCCTTACTAGTAGTAACAAGAAGCTAGTAGGAACAAGAAGCTACTAGTAACAAGTGCATCGCTTCTAGTAACAAGTGCCTTACTAGTAGTAACAAGAAGCAAGTAGGAACAAGAAGCTACTAGTAACAAGTGCATCGCTTCTAGTAACAAGTGCCTTACTAGTAGTAACAAGAAGCTAGTAGAAACAAGAAGCTACTAGTAACAAGTGCATCGCTTCTAGTAACAAGTGCCTTACTAG